AGTCTGCAACCCCCCATAGTTACCCAAAAGAAAGTCCCCTTGAGTTTGAGGAGGTTCCTGCAAAAGGGGAGGTGTAGGGGAATAGGCTCAGGATTGCAATCTTATTTGGAAGCCTTATTAGGAATGCCAGGGATTTACAATGTAATGTCTGAGTCAGCTTGCAGACACCTGAGCTGCAGAAGTCATGATTCGCTCCAGCTTCTGCAGTTGGTGCATCAGGTGTTGGAAGCACTGAGAGGAAGGAAGGCATATCCCCAGTCTCTTTGGCTCTTTTATTGGTATTATTATTTTAAATGTGTTTTAAATTGTCATTGTTTAATAACATTTTAAGGGGTGGGTGGGATTGTGGGATATGAAATGTATATTTTAATGTTGTAAGCTGCCCTGATTGTGTTACGCAGAGGGGCGGGATAAAAATAAATTTTATTCATTCATTCATTCACTTATTTCTTCCTTCCCTGTGTGCATTTATTACAAAGTTATATGACAGAGGGACTGTGATTTAAAAACAAAGAAGCAAGTCCAAATGAAGTTGTGCAAGATCTCCAGAACCCAGGGTTGTTGTTGTTTTTTCCCTGCTAGGGAATTCTGGATGATGTAGTGCAAAAAGATCACTTTCCCCCAGTGTAGGCATCATCAGTAACTTTCTAGCAGCCTAAGGCTTATTCTCTTTTTGTTTGCTGTCGTTGTTGTTGCGTACCTTTAAGTCATTCCTGCCTTACGTATAGCAACCCTAAAGTGAAGGGGTTTTCTTGGCAAGATTTGTTCAGGGGAGGTTTGTCATTCTCTTCCCTGGAGGCTGAGAGTATGTCCAAGGTCACCCAGTGGGTTTCATGACAAAACAGGGATTCGAACCTGGGCTCCAGAGTCGCAGTCCAGCACTAAAACCACAATGCTACACTGACTCTTCTCCTTTTGAATTGGACCTAAATACCCTAAAGGAACCAGATGCTGTCTAAACTTGGAAATTAAGCAGGGTCATCCCTGGTTAGTACTTGGACAAATTTGTTGTTAACTGCCCTTGAGTCGATCTCAACCCATGGCG